AAAAGGAAGAGGCGGGGGGGGGGGGTGTTAAAGAAACTTCGCAGACCTCATTTGAAGAATGATGCGTACCTAGGACTTCCGGAAGAACTCCCGACAAACATCAGCCGTGAAAGGGACACAAGAAAGAACAGATCTTTCGGGGGGGTGGGGGGGAGAAATTGCCAGATCTGGCAACTTTGTACAACTTTGTCCTCACTTACAACAGTTCGCTTAGGGACCGTTCAAAGTTACGGCATTGAAAAAAAATTGGCTTGTGGCTGTTTTTCACACTTCTAACCATTGTAGTCACGCGATACAAATTCGCACGCTTGTCAACCGGCCTCGTATTTATGACGGTTTTGCAATGTCCCGAGATCACGCGATCCCCTTTTACGACCTTCTGACGAGCAAAATCAAAAGGGAATCCAGACTCACTTAACAACCACGGGACTCACTTAGCGACTGCACTGCTTCACTTAACAAGGGTGGCAAGAAAGATCGTAAAACGGGGCAAAATGAACTTCACCAATGTGTCTTGCCCAGCAATAAAACTTTTGGGCTTCAGTCGTGGTCGTAAGTCGAGGACTACTTCTTCCAGCGTGGGCCCCATCAGAGAGGACACGGGATGAATGGAGCGAGATAACAAGGCCCACGCGAGTGGATTTCCTGTCTTTTTACGCTCAGTTTGACAACAGAGAGAATCGCAAAAGTTTAATCTGCAAAATCAGATCAAAGATAATGAGATCTTTGCTTTTCGACAGAAGTGCAAGCAAGACACTAATCGGGTGTTTTGATCTACAGGCAGTTCTCGATTTATGTTCGTCTGTTTACTGAATGCATGAAGTTACGACTGCGCTGAAAGAAATAACTTACGACTGGAACAGTCACAGCCGCCCTGTGATCACCTGGTTGCGTGGCCACAAAGACAATTGCGTACCCTGCAGTCACCTAATCACCATTTGCAACCTTCCCAGCTAATTCCAATAAGTAAAGTCAACGGGGGGGGGGAAGCACAATTCACTTAATGACTGCCTGACTCACTTCCTTGCAGTGATTCACTTAACAACCTAGCAAAAACCCGGCATGACGTGCTTAACCTTAGCAACAGAAATTAACATCCCAGTGGTGGTCATAAGTGAAGGACTACCTGAGGGAAGTGACAGACACTTAACGATGGGGTGACCCACTTAACGACTGCAGGGATTCGCTTAACGACCGAGGGAAAGACAACAGGGGAAGCCAAAGTTGCTTAATCAGCATAGGAAAAAACGGTTGTAAAATTGGATGGGGCTTCCTGAGGGATGACATCGCTTAGTCCAGTTGTGGTCATAAGCTGAGGACTACTTGCATGGTCCTGCTAAAAATCAGAAGTCTGGACCCTACTTTTCGGATGCATAAATTTGCATTTCAGCCTGCAGGATGATCTACACAATATAGGATGTGAAATGGATGTTGTTTGCGGCATACAACACAGAAAGTGTTACCAGCATTTTGTTTAGTGACCATTCAAAGTTACAACGGCACTGGAAAAAACAAGCTACGGCCGTTTTTTACACTTACGACTGTTGCAGCACCCCCCCAGGGTCAAAATTCAGCCCCTTGGCAACCAACTCATATTTACGACGGTCACGTGATCCCCTTTTGCGACCTTCTGCCAAGGAAAGTCAATGCGGATTCAGTTAACAACTGCGTTGTGATACGCTTAACAACAGCGGCAAGGAAGGTCGTCAAACGGGACAAAATTCACTTAACGTATGCCTCGCTTAGCAACAGAAACTCTTGGTTTCCATCGTGGTCATAAGTTGAGGACTTTCCAGCATCATTGAAACGACATGGGCAACCTGGCTGTTGTTTGGGGATACCGAGAGGGACGAGGGAGGATCTACGCCCCCCACCAAGTTTGTTTACCTCGATTTTTTATGGCGTCTGGTTACAGGTCTCCTTTTAGAGTCATCGTTTTTGTGGTTGCGGTATCTCCAGGTTGTGGTGTTTTTCCTCCCCTTTGAACAATCCGGAGCCCAAAGAGTTCAGCCTTATCTTTCCAAAGCAGGTTTGCATTTTTAATTTTATCCTTCTCCAGCTTTCCTTACTGCCGCTGTGAGTTGCGGTTTGAGGTGCAAATCTTTCCTACAGCTCGGACGTCAATGTCTCTCCCAGCCCTTCGCTCTGGACCGTGTGTGTGTGTGTGTGTGTGTGTGTGTGTGTGTGTGTCTTCGACTTACAACCGTTTGTTTAGGAGGCACTGATGAAACTGAGTTACGACCGATCCTCGCTGTTACAACCATGGCAGCCAGTCTCAAGTTCCCGTGAACAAAAACTCAGGTGCTTGGCAACCAGCATGCAGTCCTCGACTTACAACTGTCCGTTTAGGGACCGTTCGAGATTGCAACGCCGCTGAAAAAAAGGGGACTTAGGACTGCTTTTCATACTTACGGCCGTTGGGTCTCCACGGCCACAAATGATCGAAATTCAGACGGCTGGCAACTGACTCGAGTTTATGACGGTCGCCGTGCCCCGGGGGGTCATATGATCCCCTTTTGCAACCGCCGGACAAACCCAGTCCACGGGGAAACCAGATTCACTTAACAGCCATGTGTGTCACTTAACAACGGCCGTGTGTGTCACTTAACAACAGCAGTGATTCACTTAACAATTGTGGCAAGAAATGTCATAAACTGTGGCAAAACTCACCTAACCCCTGTCTCACTTAACAAAAGAAACTTTGGGTTCAATTCTGGTTGTAAATTGGGGACCACCAGTATTTATCGGGGTGGCAGAGTCCTGGGATCACATGATCCCCGTTTGTGACCTTCCCGGCTGATCTTACTTGATGAGTATAGCCAACGGAAGAAGCCAGATTCACTAAACCGCCATCCTGTTCACTTAACGACAGTGACTCTCTTAACAACCCAATGGACGCAGATTCGCAGATTCGGTTGCGAGCCGTTTGGGCTTTGCTTACCAGTGGAAATTCTGCTTCCAAGTGTGGTTGTAAATCGAGGATTTTCCTGCTGTGTTCCCGGTATTGGGGAAGGGTCGGGAAACTGAGGCAGGTGGAGGTGTATTACTCCTCCTTCCCCCTAACCTCTTGGGCTACCTTGATTGGCATTTCAGCTTCCACCATCCTCTTCTACACACACACACACATACACACACACACACACACGACGACTGGGGCAAGGGATGAATCCAACCAGTTTGCTGGGAACGGGCAAAGTTCAGAATTCGAGTGCCGACTTGTCTGAACCACGCAGAAAATCCGGTTTTCTTTGCATATTTTTTCCCACCCAGGATGGCAGAGAGACCGAGAGAGACGGACGTGGTGGCACCCAGAGAGTTTTCACACTTCGGAAACACAGCGAGTCCTCGACTTACAATAGATAGTTTACGGACCGTTCAAAGTTACAACGGCGATGAAAAAAAGGACCCGTTTTTCCACACTTACGACCGATGGCAGCATCCTCGGGGTCATGTGGTCAAAATTCAGATGCTGGGCAACTGACTCGTACTTATGACGTTCGCAGCATCCCAGGGTCACGGGATGCCCATTTTCCGACCTTCCGACAAGGAAAGTCAATGAAGAAACCAGAGTCACTTAACGACCGGGTGACTAATTTAACAGATGCACTGATCCACTTAACAACGGTGGGAAGAGAGGTTGTAAAATGGGGCAAAACTCCCTTAATAACTGTCTTGCTTAGCAACAGAAATTTGGGCTCATTTGTGGTCGTAGGTCATGGACCACCTATAGGTCATAAGCCAAGGACTTCCTGTAGAGAGAGAAAGTGAGAGAGAGAAACGCAGGATGGGAATATTATAGTAAGGCAGGGGGTGAACATGATAAAAGTCCTCGATTTACGACTACAGATCCTTTGATAAGCAAGGCAGTTGCAGGTAGGTAAATAAAGCAAAATATAATAAAGTAACATACAATAAAGTAAATAAAATAAGATAATCAAACAATACAACACAATAATATATATAGGAAGACACAGGCGATCCTCGATTTACAACAACTGAATCCAAAATTGCTGTTGCTAAGTCAGGCAGTTGTGAAGTGAGCTTCTTTCCAAAGTCATTAAGTGAATCGGCGCAGTTATTAAGTGAATCATGCGGTCGTTAAGTGAACCTGTCTCCCCTGTTGACTTGGCCTGTCAGAAGGTCGTCAAAGGGGGATCCCGTGACCCGTGGGACACCTTAGCTGTTGTAAATGTGAGTCTGTTGCCGAGCGTCTGAATTTCAATCATGGGGAGGACTGCAATGGTCGTAAGTGTGAAAAACGGTCATAAGTCGCTTTTTTCAGGGCTGCTGTAATTTTGAAAGGGTCACTAAATGAACTGTTGTAAGTCGAGGACTACCTGTAAACCGGCCGCCCTGTTCACATGACTGCAAACACACACACACACAGCTGCCTGCCTGTGTAGGGAACTCACCCTCACTCACCAGTCTATTGGAGCGGGATCTCCAACCTTGGATACTCTAAGCCTGTAAGACTTCAACTCCC